TAGGTGTTTCTGTTGTGAGTACAAACCACAATGACATATGTTGTGTTGTGTTTCCTCATCCAGTAGGACTAATTAGTGATCTGTTGTCATTTCTTGTAGGTCGGTACTACCCGGCGGACGCGGGTTACATGGACATGGCAGGTTACATGACTTCCTTCAGAAACACAAGGTATCATATGAACGATTTTAGGGGGAGTAGATTTGCATCGGTTGCAGCGGGAGGAAAAATTCAACTACATTCATGTGAAGCTGCGAAATGTCATCGAAAGGAGGTTTGGGGGCTTGAAAGAACGTTGGCATATTCTGAAAGGGGTGCCGTACTGCAAGAGGAAGAAGCAGGCTATGATAATCATTTCATGCTTTGCATTAGAAAATTACTTGTGGCTGCTTAAGTACGGAGCTGATCCACCTTCGTATGAGCTGCCGGAGTGGGTTGAGCTAAATCGGGGAACCAAAACCTCTACAGTTAGGGAGTTGATATCTATGGTTGTGGAGTGGTATCTGATTTAGGAAAGTTGAGGTAATACAGCTACTTCCTATATATCTGCGTGTTGTTTACAGTACTCAGTAGCACATTGAAAAAAAAAGTTGAAATATTTCGTTGTTTCTCTTGAAAATGTTACATCTCAAACTAAGTTTAACTTCTAAAAATATTTTGCATGAGAAAATACATATGTGTGTTCACACTTCCCAATTAGTCTGCATTTCCGTAGGATTTCCAAAGGTTTACAGCTATACATGGACTTTCCATTGTTGTGGCTAGATTTGCGAGACATTAGTTAGGCTCACATTGGTTATAGCTTAATGGAAATTATATCTTTACTACATACAGTATGATGGAAAATATAGTATTTGTTCTTGAATCCATGCCAATTTTTTTCTGAAACTTAACTGGAGTTGCCTGACTGCCTGAAATATAAAGTAGATCACGGAGGGGCTTTACCGACAACTAGAGCCACGCACAAAGAAGCTCAGATTCACGGTCCATTTTGTGATGACCGCTTGTTTTTGCCCTGCTGTGTAGCTGCCTTTGCTATGTTGACAGTCAGCATCTCGAAGGCGGGTGGTTTATGTGCACATGCAGGTTGCAGGTATGCGTGCATTTTGGTTAGTGGGATCATGAAGGCCATAATGTTTGTGCTGCATATATGCCTACTGTGGTATTTGTAGTGTATGATCTTTGTGTTGTATGGATGGAACAAATGGACTGTGAATTGTTGGTTGAACATGTAACTTGTTTAACTGTGAATTATGTATTGCAAATGTGTTGTAAACAACCTTATATGCATTGTGGTTTGGCGCCATTATATGAAAACCACATGTTGGCGCTAATAATCAGTTTGAATTTAAAATTATGAAATCAGCCGTTTTCTTGCTACTGAAAATGGCTGGCGGCTGAAATTGACAGGCTGGGCCCCGGTACCAGCCGGCCAATTCAGGCCTGCCAAACAGGCTCATAATATTCCTATGCCACCCACACACCGACCTCTCGAGCGGGGGAGCAGGAGCGCGAAGGCAAACAACTACTGCACAGGCGTTGAGCGCGTCAGTTAAGTTCGGATCCAACGACCACCACCAGCGGATCACCACTCTTCCATCAGTTCCATGTGCGGCTGCTTCTTGCCGCTGCACCTGCCAGGACCAGCCACGCATGTCCCCGAGATCTCGCGGGCAGGCAGGCAGGCGTGCAGGTGCCCAATGATCCCGAGTCCACCAGACCACCACCACCTTTTATTTCCTTTCGCAACGAATTGATTGCCACCTCTCTTCTGCTGCTACACAGCACCACTCTAGGGCCTCGTTTGGTTACTATCTCATGGATGTTGATATATGTATGGAGTATTAAATATAGATTAAAAAAATAATAAATTATATAGATTGTGACTAATTTGTGAGATGAATTTTTTAAGACCTAATTAGTTCATGATTTGACAATATGGTGTTACAGTAAACACATGCTAATGACGGATTAATTAAGCTTAATAAATTCATCTTACGGAGTATCGAGAACTTATATAATTTGTTTTATTATTACTATCCGAACACTCTCACGTGACACCTTGATGTGACACCCCTAAACTTTTACCCTAGCATTTAAAAAAGCCCTAGGGCGGCCCCCGCCAGTCGTGCGCAACGCATGTGATCGCCTCGCCCGCCTCCTCTACCCCGATCCAACTCCTTGTTCAGTTGCTCATATAAGCCAGCTTATTAATCATGATACAGTATTTTTCTAACCCAACAAATCAACCGTACCAATCAACCCAAGCGGCTTATAGATCAGCCGAACAAGACCCCATCCAACCACCTTTCCAACCAACGCTGCCGCCCGCCGGTGCGTGCGCGTAACCTTCCTCGGCTATTGCGGCGACTCTCTGAGTCCAACCGACGCCGAGTACAAGCCCAATCGAACGGCACCGTGCAGGGAATCGAATGATTTGGGCGTGATCGTCCACGACGGCAAAGCCAACGCCAACTTGCCCCGTTCGCTTGGCTAATAAGCCATGGCTGAAAGCACCGTTGGTTGATTTGTTGTGAGAGAAAAATATTTTTCGTTGGCTAAAAAAGTACAGCTTAGGGCAGTTCCAATGAAAGAAACTAGTAGTTTCTATAACATAGGATACCGCACAAAAAAGTACTGTTTTCCAACCCATGGTTTCTATGAGTAATAATTATTTTCTCTTTCTCTCTCCCAACTCTATCTTCATTCCTCCAATAAAAGTGCGGCACGAGTCTCCTAGAAACTGGTGGTTTTTTTCCAATGGCGATTTCATGGTTTCTTGGTGCATTGGGTCAAGAGAAGATCTGATTTCTTCATGAGAAAACCATTTCTATGATTTTTGCTCTCTTTCTTTATTAACTACGTTGTCATATCAACATTTTATCTACGTGGCAAGTTATTTAATGAGGATAAAATCATCGATACATCGTTGGGACTGCCCTCGTTAGCCCAGCGAACAGCGCGTTGGCCGAGGACGAAGGGAGCGGTGGAGAAACGACAGGTCAGTTGAATGGCCCAGTTGGTGCCGCGAGAGCGGCGACTCGTTGTGGTGGCGGTGGTGGGGGCCCGGGCGTGCTGTGCCAGCGCGTACCGCCCGCCCGCCGGGGTACGTTGCGGGTGGCGATGGATCGGCCGTGCACGCCGCGGCAACTTGGCTCGGCCCGGGAAGCAGCAGACCACATGCGCCGGCCGGTTCGGTCCGGTGCTGTGTGCTGGACTGGACTGGATCCGTTTCGTCTCGGCGAGGGGAAACGAAAAGGGAGGTGGTAGACGGGATGCCCCATGTCGTTCGTTCCGTGCGTGGCGTGCCCACCTTTCGTACGGGCTCCTCGGAGTGCCTTCACGGCGCGCGGCATGTGTCTTTGCCGGGTTTCTTTGGGCCCTTTCGGTTGGTGCCGATGCTTGGGTTTCAGATCAACACCTTTTCCTCTCTGAAAAATCTGAATCAACCACAGCATATATAACGGAGAAGAAATCCCGAGCGTTGGCGGGTGAAGAAATTCCTGACGTGTACAAAATCACAAAGTTAGAAGACCCCTCTCAAGGAGTAGTTACCATACATTTTCCCAACGCATGGTACGTCATGAGTGGAGACAAAAAAAAAGACACGTCTTTATATACGTGTTTGATGCGCATAATGGTATACAGAAAAAAACAGTCAATAATATCACGTAAATCAGGTGTCCCGTTTGCATCGTGCACTGACCAATCTCTGGGAAGAATCCTATATGTTCAGTAGTAAAACTTTTGACAACTCTAAGAGGCGGTGAGATCTAATTAGGACTAAGAATTAGTCCATTGTTATTATGATAACAAACTATGAGTTTGCTAGATAAATCCACCAGAGCTAATGGGCCCATAATTATTCCTCCCATTTGACATCTAATTTTTTTTTAACGAAGCAGTCAAGATTTTTTTTAATGGGAGGAAACGTCAAGACTTGGGGTAGCCGGGTTGGGACAACGGTAGTGCTCCACGCCACAGCCTGTTCCCGGCGGCCAACGTTTCCAGTGTGCGCACAGCGCAGCGAGATTACCTCACGACGACGGCGAATGGCAAATCCTAGCAGCCGGAGGCTCACGCTCTTTTGTTCCACAGTCGCTGCATCACATGTTTGATATATGAATGTTGTATTAAATATAGACTAATTACGAAACTAAATACACAAATTTAAATTAAATTTCAAGATAATTTTTAAGTCTAATTAATCCATAATTTGACAATGTGGTGCTACATTAAACATGTTCTAATAATAAATTAATTAGTTTTAATAAATTCATCTCATGAATTACTAACGGATTCTGTAATTTATTTTTTTATTAGTATCTCTCGGACGAGACATATCTTAAACTTTAGCCCCAGCATCAAACATCTCGTTCCCAGGCAATGTAAACAGTTTTCTGTACCAGGCCAACAGTACCAGCCACAACTATTCTCTCCATGCGTGCTATCGCCTTAGAATAAAAACAAAAAGGTTTTGAAAATTCACGGATTCTTCCAAGTTCCAACTAGGAGTGCTGGAACCTTCCATGTATTTCGATCCTTTTTCTCATCAGTCCAAGATATTCTTTTTCTAAGATTTGGGGTTGTCACGTCAGTAGGTCAGCGTCCTTCCGGCGGCCACATCCACATGTGTCGCTGTAATCGCCCACCTCCATCCACGCAACCAACGTGGCGGTCTTCTTTATCTTTTGGCTTCACTGTTTATTATTTTTAATTTAATAGTAATAATAACTTTATATACTCGCTTGCTTATTTGCTTTTTTTCTACTAATAAGCGAGAAATAAATTCCAAGGGCAAAGAAGGAAAACCATTTTTTCAGATTCTTTTCCCTGCTCAGAACCTTCCTTCCCAAGTTTCCACGCCCCCTGTTTTACCCTTCTAAAAACTTTACATTCAGGTTAAAAAAGGGTGCCCCCCTGCTCGCTAATGTTAGCCAAAAGGTAAAACAAAAAGCAAGAAAAACAAGGCTAATCCACTGGCTGCGGCCGGGGATCGTCATCAGACGGCCGGCATGGTCTCGTGGCGCAGCGCGGCGAGATCCGACGGCCCGTATGCGTCGTTTTCGCCGAACGCGAACAGGCCGGCGTCGAAGCCGTCGTCGTCCCACGCGGCCGCTGCGGCGACGGCCGCGGCCTGGGCCTCCGGCGAGTAGCCGCCGCCGAAGCCGCCGCCTCCGTCTATCTCGTCCTCGAAGCCCCAGATCTGGCCGCCGTCGAGGGCGGACTCCGGCGGCGCCCCGGCGAGGCCGCCGGCCTCGTCGGACGAGGAGGCGGAGGTGCCCGCCGGCGGCAGCCCCAGCTCGTCGTCCGAGGCCTCCAGCAGGAACCCCAGCTCCGGCTGCTGCTGCTGTGTCGGCGGCGCCCCCACGGCCTCGTCGAAGCTAGCTATCTCCTCCTCCAGGCTCCGCATGACGGAGGCTAAGTCGCCGGCGGCGGCCGCGTCGGTGTCGTCATCGAGCATGTCGAGCAGGTCCTGCGGCCGCAGCCTCTTCGCGTCGGCTGCCTCCGGCAACGCGGCGGCCTCTCCGGCGGCGGCGAGGTCCACCACCTCCCGCGCCCGCTTGTGAGAAGAGCTCTCCATGAAATGAGCAAACGAACGGGAACGACTTTTTGTTTTTCTCTTCTTGCTCCTCCTCCTCTCTCTCGCTGTGTACACGTACGCCGAGCAAGGTAGAGCGAGACGAGGCAGCGATAACGCGAGGGCAAAGACGCCAAGAGTACAAAAAGCGAGGTGTTTTGCGCAGCGTCGCCGAGTTGGGGGCTTCCTTATATAGCGTTGCCCGCCCGTGGGCGGCTGTGCGGACGCCGGCTCTCGCAGGGGTGTTTCCGCAAAATTCTCCCGCCCGCGCGGTTTTGGTTTGGTCGCGAGTGCGTGCGGGCGGTGGTGGTGCAGCGAGCACTACGTACTCCTCCTCCTAGTCTTCTCCTTTCCCTCGTTTCGTTAGTTTGCTAGCTTTTGGGCCATATTTAGTTCGACCAAATTTTTAATTTTGACACTATAAAAGAAAAGATTTATCGTCACATCAAACTTCATACATGGAGTATTAAATGTTAACGAAATAAAAAACTAATTACACAGTTTAGTTATACTTTGCGAGGCGAACGTTTCGAACCTGTAGCTACAGTGAATCAGTCGGCGCCAATTCGGGGCAACTAAACACGGCCTTGGTTGCCGTGTGGGGGGCTGCGCCGCGACGACGGACGGACGGACGGACGGGGACTGTGATGTGTGCGTGTGCGTTGCCTGGCTGAGGCGCGCCATCTGGAAGACCCGGGCAGGCCGGGTCGCGTGGGCGGGCGGGGCGGGGCGTGGCCATGTCTCCGTCCGCGACCGCGCCTGCCTGCCTGTTTTGTCCACGCCCTGGACTGGATGGGTGGTGGATTAGGGCGTGTGTGGTGTTTGAACGGCGACGGCCTCCTCCTTCCTTCGATATTTCTGCCACCGGTTTGTTTTTTACGTACCTTTGAAAAAGCCATCTGGCTGGCTGGCTGTATATTGGTTAGTGGTGGTCATCTTTAGCCCGGCCGGGTCTCTTTTTAGTTAGGAACAGGAGGTGCATCCAGCTATATATATATATATTTTTTTTTCAAAAGGTCTATTATTCTCACCTGAAAAGATTTCCAGAACGTGCCTGCTTGGCGCGGACATTACAGGGTCAAAATCCGTTAAGAAACAAGTTGGTTCTGAACCTTACAAATACACACAAGTTTATCATTAATTCAAATCAAACTTTTCGCCATGGCATGCATATATATACACACACACACTAGTCAGTAATAAAATTCTACAAACTAAAAAAATACATGGCTGTATTTTTCACAAGAGGAAAATAGTACTACGTCAGTTCCATTCTGTAAATTCTGCATTTTGAAGGGTTGTGTCCGCCCCTGTGTCTTGAGATTTGACTCGCCCGTACGCAATGACCGGAGTCGGGATGCGACACGGGGGCACCGGGAGCCCAACCCAACCCCACCCGACCCGTACGTGTAGTGTGCACCCAACCACCTTTTTATTTGGGAAAAAGGCCACGACGCTCCGAAGCAAGCACCAAGCACAGCATGTGACCCAACCGCCCTAGCATCTGCGAAACTGGGCTCTCCCAGGGACCTCGGCGCAAAACGAACGGGTGGGGCCAAGAATCGACCCGCCGCCCCAGGGGTACTTTTGCGAATACATTTAACCGGGGGTGTCGAGGGATAACGGATCATGGCGGGGGCCTATACGCGAAAGCGGCGCGGGAGCGTCGAGATCGGGATTCTGGGGCCATCCGTCACGGGCGTATCGTCGCCTTTTTTTCCCCATTTTCCACCCCGATTTTCCTGATTTAAATTCGATTCTTTCATTGGGTCCGCTATCAGCTGCGGTTCAAGTCCGGCGCCTGCACGATTCGCGTCCGCGAGCTGAGCTGAGCCGACAGCGATTTTAGCCTTTGTTCGGCTTCAGCAGCCGGCGAACGGTCAGCGGCTCGCCTTCGGATCTGGCTACCCGGCTCTAGCTGTGTGAAGGGACTGCTTGGCCCTGGTCCACGTTTAGCTGGCGGTAGTTTTATGTGCTTTGTACGGTTTTACCGTTTCTACGTTGGTGAACAGCTGGGCTAAAGACGCGGTAAAAGAGCAAGCTAATGGCCCTGTTTGCTTAAATTTACGGCAGTACTTTTTAACGAAATAATCGTGTTTTTCCTCTATAACAAATCAGCATCAGCATCACCGTTTTTCAGCCAACCGAACAGAGCCAATAATATAGGAGTAACTTACTCTAGTCCTTACATACATTTAACCCACTTATCTACGAGCCACTTGTTCATCTCACAAAATTCTTTTTCTATAAATAAGCTGATTATAAACTTATAGCTTACTTCGTACTTCTCTTCTCTTTAAATATGTTGATTATAAACTTATAGCTTACACCGTACTTATCTCTCTATCGTCCACACTCTCCTCCACCTTAGCAAAAAAAAAAACTACTTAAATTCTTTTACTATACTTACTCTACGCCGTTCTATTAGTACATCTAGCGTGCTATAAGGTTACTCTCAGTGTGAATTTCATGTCTCAATTTCTAATACTCTCATTATTGGAAACAGTGTATACTAGTTTTATGCACATGAAACTCATTCATCTTATGAAACTAGAATCATCTCTCTTCATTTATATTGTATCATGGTCATAGTAATCCTATCAATATTGATCTTATATTGTCAGCCTATATAGGATCTTATATTTGCTTGATTAAAACAAGTTTGACATAGCGTAGCGTAGATGAAGTTTTATTTGTGACAAGAGGAAGCAGAAGACATTTCCAAGTTAACGACATTAGATAACTATAGTTTACTACTACATTTGTTCCGAAATACAGGTCAATTTAGTTTTGCCTAAAGTTGAACTTATCTGATTTTGATCGATCTATATAAAGACACATCAACACCTTTACATAAAATCTATTCATATTACATTCATTCAGTATTGTGGATGTTTCATTTCGTCCACAAATATAATGACTTATTATGGTGTTCAAATTTTGTTCACAACTATACAGTTCTGAGTATTCAATCATTAGCTACGTCATTAATCGTACCAATCAGGAATCACCTAATTGTTTTGACGAGGGGCATGAAAACTTCTCCTTTCCTGCTTCCAAGTATAGGGGTGGGCATAATTAACCGTAACAAAAAACAAACAAACCAAAAGAACCAGAAACGAGACTAAAAGATTGAGGAACCAAAAAAATCAATTTGCTACTTGGTTCCACATAGCAAAGAACCGAAATGGGCCAAGAAAGTTTGGTTCCGAGATTGGGGTGAATGCCAGCACCAGTGGAGGGGTGAATCTCGCTCCCACGCCCCCGTGTCCCCCCACGTGGCGACTCGGGCGGCCAGCCGTAACCCAAGCCACCGCCCCCTCTTCCTCCCTTCTCTAGTCGTGCGCGCCGCCGCCAGCTGGCCACCGGCAAGGCCGTTCGGCTGGCTGGGATGGCGGCGGCGAGGCCCTCCCTCCCTCGAGTGCGGCGGCGCGCGCGGCAGCGGGATGGCGGTGCCTCCCTGTGCGAGCGGCGTGGAGCTCGGCCGGGAGGGTTGCCGCGGTTGCTGCGGCGCCGGCTGGTGCCCTGGCTGGCACAGGGATGGCGGCGGGGTTCCTCCCTTTTCCTCCGCGTGTTCCCATCTCCAGTTCCTGTTGACAGCTGTGGCATCGACGGGGCTATCGATTCGGTGCTCAGGAGGTCCGATCCGGTGCCCGGAGTGCCGGATCCGGGGCCCTACCTGCTGGATCTGGCTTTCCTAGGCCGAACGGCGTGTCCGGCGGCGGTTGTGGCGGCAGCGGCGGCCGGTGCTGGTGCTGGGGCCTGGAGGCGACGATAGGCTACATCTTCTCCTTCGCATGCTCCCTCTCTTGGCCTTGGCTGCTGCGGCGGCGGCCGCGGCCGGTGCCGCTCGAATCATCCTGTGGTGGGATGGCAGCTGACGGCGGTTGCCGCAGCGGCGGCAGTGGTCCATGCTGGCGCTCTCTTCTCTACCTGCCCCTCCCCACACGGCCTTACCTGCTGCAGCGGTGGCGGCCGGGACTGTCAAGACGGAGGCGGCGGCATCAGCATGGGGCGTCGGGTTCGGGGCTTGGCGTCTAGATCCGGCGGCCCCAGGGTTCGGAGCTGCTCTTCTTCGCCCTTGGGCTTTTGGGCTTGCTTTGGCTGATAAGCGATATTACTGTTTGGCTGATTTGGTGTGAGAGAAAAATACTGTTCGTTGGCTGAATAAGTATGATTTATACGTCAAACAAGCCTAAATGAGGTGGCCGTCAACTTCGGACCTGTCGGGGTGTGTGTGCTGCAGGTGGCCTGCCATGGGAAGTTGGAGCTGCTAGCAGCTGGGCTGCCATGCTCGGTAACGATGACACATGGTGGTGTGCCATGTTTGCGCTCAGCCACGTCACGTAGGGTGGTTAGCCCTCGGGTGTCTTTTTGACATCTTATTTGGCTAACCTTCTAGTATATAAATATTTTTTCGACTTAATTGAGCGGCAGAGCTTCTAACTTTGTTAAAAAAAAAGTTTGATTCCTACTCTCGATTAACCAAATAAACCGAAATCACTGAAATGCTCGGTTCCTATAATTCTAGAATTGGTATGTTCCTATTTTCTAGCAACCATGTTTCTTCAAGAGTCAAGGAACCAAACCAAAAATTGAATGTTCACCCTACTTCCAAGTCTTTGTTCTATGGACTTAGGACTATAGAGTAATACGTTTTTCTCTGTAAAATTGATCAAAGGAAAACTATTTACTTAGAAGAAAAACTTAAACAACCTATATTTTAATTTGAAACCGTCGGAGTAGGGCACTACTATGATAAACTTTACTTTGCCTGGCTCGAAGTCATGTTAGCTTGCTACAATAGCTGCTTCAGTTACTACGGGCCTATTCATTCGTTCCGTCGACTCGCCACGCCATAGCTGCGGCTCGGCAAAAGCGCGGCGGTGAAATCGAGCGCTAGACTTTTGGTGTGCATTGGCGTAAACCAAAGATGTGACAGCAACCAAAACCAAACGCTAATCATATTTGCCGAGTTGGTTCGACGACCATGGAGCAACCAA